GGGGACAAACCTTCTGCCGTGGCAGCTTCGTCGTGAATATCCAACGGTGAATATTTTCTGGTGGACAGGTGTTTGCAATCTGCTCGCGCGACAGCCGGCACAGAGTTCGTGACGATTCCTTGAGAATCGAATCGAATCGAATCATTTTATATCTGACAAAAGTACGAATTGTCAATTAACTTTATGTATCTTTTGTGTTTTATAAAAGAAATAGAACGTTCCAGAATCGATACCATCGATCGATAAAAATCGATAAATGTTGACATAGAACATAAATAATTAATTGACAAACTGTTAGGCAGAATTGATAATGTTGATGAAGAAAAAGGAAAGAAAGGAGCCCATAAGAGAAACACGATCTGCGAAAGATCTAGTCCAGTGTTTCCGAGTGTTACAACCATACGTAAATACTAATGCCTCGCCTTCATCCACCGTATTATACATGTAGTCCCATTATATCGTGTTACATCAGTTACACATTATTCGAGTTGTTCGAAGAGCTGCTTCGTCTCAGCTCGAGATATCGCCAGTTGAAGCAGACATCCTGATTGGGGATGGAAATAATACCTCTATTCGTTGACGAATTTTTTCCTTCAAAATACCAAAAAATAAAGAAATAAAATAAAGGGATATAAAATGTATATTGGTACGACACATAATTCAAAGAGGTAAAAGGTTGTACAAATTATATCGAATAAAATAAATTGAAAATCCTTTTCCACTCAAATTTAATTTAAAGATTTTTAAAATATATATATGTTATGAAGTAAAAGTGTTTATATCGTGACTAATTTAGATATTAAAGGGGCAGACATCTCTTTCCTTCTCTCTAGTAAAATTGTTCACAATGTTATATAATTGCATGAATATGATGAGAACAAATACTTACCTATCTATAAATGCATTGGTTTTGCTCGCATCGTAAGAAGATAAGTACGAACGAGAACTCCATCTATCGGATAATGAACGAAACACGATCTGTCTGAAGAGAACGAGTTAAACAAACCAGAAACGAGAACACGAATTTGGTCCATTTTCCACCTGCATGATACTGTAAACGATACATAAATTAACATTTTGATCCGAGGAGCGGTGTGGTCGTTTTAATTCATAATCAGGACCCCAGGCCAATTGCAGGCGAACACGGACCACTTCTGTGGCATGTAGTATCGAATAATTAATGATCCTTCGTTTTGCGCTTTCCTGTATTCAACCAACGTTCCTACTTATTCAACTCTACTTGTGTTACAAGTATATTTCGAGAAAACACGAGCAAATGACTAAAATATTCCCTACCGATACTACTTTAGATTTAGATAATAATTTAATATTCTTTTAATATCTTTTAATATTCTTTTATCGGAAGATTCTTTTTACCAAAAAAAAAAAAAGGAAAAAAAAGAAAAAATGCAAAGAGCAATGTATGGTATTTAGCCATGAAAGTATAACTCATAAATTTGTAATTTGCTTTATATCTTTAGTTTTGATTTGGTTTGTGTATACCATTTTTTTTTATATAGTTTGCCATTCGCCACCTATTTGTGCATTGAATAAGGTTGCATGGTTTCTGTTCCTCCAGTTCCCAATGTCCCAAAATCCCAATAATGCCATAGAGTAAAAGCATATTACGTGATACGCATGCGCAAAAATAAGTGGAAGTAGAAGAGTTACGTGAAACAAAATTTTAAGCAATCACGACTCTGAAGTATAAGCATAGCATTTGTAGCATTTGTGATTACACTTTGTATAATCATTTGTGATATCTATTACGTATCAAGAAACGAATAAATGGAAGGGACAGAAGAAGAATTTCCTGCTCAGTGGGCACTTGACCTTCTTGAACCTACACCTCTGGATCGATCTAATCATATTTTTAGATATTATGCAGTACCACTTACTACGATTGCAATAACAACTGCAGCGGTAATGAAAAATATACTGGAAAAAAAACCCGCAACAGCCAGTAGGTTGATAAAGTAAATTATTTTTAACATAATTAACCTCGTAATAACTATAATTCATTGTTAATTTATTTCGGAGAGATACTAAATAAGTTACCACATTTATTATGTATACTTTCATTTGTTCTGATGACAAAAATAAGGTACTAGAAACACGTTTTAACGAAATGCATTTTAGTCTCCCACTATGTGATTTCCCTTTTACAAACTAAAACAAATTGCTATTACAATATATAATGCTTAACTTTCGAGTTAAGTAATCGCAATGTAACCTATTTATGTATGATCTTGAATTCATTATTTTTTACTACGTACATACTAATTTTTAATATACAGTAATGAATTAATTTTGTTATCATTTCATAAGAAAAATCTAATTTCTTTCCTTTGTATCGTACATCTAATATTAATGCAGCTGTCATATTATTATCAATCATATTATTAAGTGTATTCGATTTGTAGATAAGCCACACATAGCATTGGCAACCGTAGCTGGTTTTGTTCTCGGTTGTGGTATTCATTGGCTATCTGATATAAAATTTGCAAGAAAGGATGCGATAATGAGAGATTATATAATGCGGCATCCAGAACGGTTTCCTAAACCAGGTATAAAGCATTATAAATATCTCCATTTTTTTTTTTTTTTTCAAGAAATCTTTATTTTTAAAGATTATAGAGATGTATCTTTAATATTTTAGACATTAAAAAATATGGAGATATTTTTGGTGAGTGGATCCCATTTCGTTAAAAGATTGAACTTTAGTCACGGAGTAGGTGTTCTTTATTAATAACAAATAAACAATAAAATACACGACTTATCGCATACTATATTTACCTTTATTTTCTTATACCTTTGCTTCTATTTTTAGACGTATAAGATTTAGTACATAAAGCGTTACAGCTTAAATGTTTGCTCCAAAACTATAAAAAGTAATGAACAAACTTTTCCTACAGTCTTTATGATTCTCCAGAGCCTTTTAAATGATAATGGACGAAAGACAAATAAACATCTTTACTAATCCCCTAGAAACTGTTAAAAGAACGTCCACAGCTTTTTGTGTTGAATGAAAATGATCGTCAAAACAAGTTCAATATCCGATAAAGTATTCCTTAAAGTTAACTATAGTAAAAAAAATGAAATGCACACATGTATTACATGTAGTGTGTATAATAGAAACAAACATGTGAAAACAGGAATAAGTTACATATTGTATAAAAATTTAATTAAAGTCGATAAAATGGCTTTGTAGTTTGGAAACATTTTAATTTGTAGTTCTGATAAAAGTATATTTTATTGTATAAGTACACTTTGTTATTATTAATATTTTTAAATTTTTTGAGAACTTATATCGTTTATTTGCCATTTCCTCTTTAATATATTTGTCATTTTTATATATGTATATTGTATATTGCCTTGAACTGCTTCCAAGTAGAAAAATTTTACATTTATTATAAATGTTACTTATATAAACAACAACAAAAGAGAATTAATTAAATTCTTTCTAATTATCATTCTAGATTTTGAACATTTCTATTTCTTTTCAGGATTATAATTATCATTGTACAGTCCAGTTCCTTTTGAATCTCCCAACCAGGGATATTTATTAGGACATTCCCTGCATGTTTCTAAATACCTATAAATATATTTGTTATTATTTTAAGTTTCAAAATATTAGATACATCTTGATTATATGTACATGTTATTTATCTATTTAGCTATATGGATATTTACCTTGTTGTAGTAAAATTTGATTCTGTAGGTTTGAAATCTAAAGCACATTTATTTGGATTGTTACATGGTGGTCCAGGAAGATTTTCTTTCTTTTTACACGACCATCCTTCAAAATTATTCAGAGATTTTATCGGTTTTGGATCAGTTATCCATGTAAGAGCTTGAGTAGCTGTTACAAAGTACACATCGGGTCTGTAAATATAATTATTTCGATAATTTATAAAAATTTTTTAATACGAAATATAAAAAATTACATGATGTATAAGCTATTTTCTGCTTACAGTGTTACTGCCCAATCAAGGAACTTTGACAGTCCACGTTCGAGTTCCTTTATTTGAAACCAGTTAGTATGAAATGGCATCATGTATGGTGCTCTATTTTGTTCGTAATAACGATTAAAATCTTCTTGCAACCACTCAAAAACTTCCTCAGGATCATGATTGTGAAGCACACATTGATCCAAGTATGGACAATGTCCTCCTTCGTAGCTTTCAACATAATGTGCATTCAATGGTAACTCCCATACTCCTAAAAATAAGTAAGATACCTTTCCTTCTTTCACAGCTCGTGCCTTGTATCATATATGATAACATACATAAAGTTACTTTATTACCTTGAAATGATTTAGTAGGACATGTGCCTGCTTTACATTCATGTGGAATCTTATAATCAAGAGTATATGGCCAAATTGGTACTTTTAATGGAGAAATTCCAATACTGCTATCGTATATGTATCCAAAATCTTCCAATACTTTGTACTGAGTATTTCGACCTGGTTTTAAATATGGAGCTCTCATGCCTACAATTTCGCTTATTGAAATATTACTAAAATGCTTAAGTATCTCTCGCATTCCTATCATTTCTCCAACCCATTCCTCATATCCTTTATCTTCTAATCCCTTTTGTAGTCTAAACAAATTATATCATACATATATATATATATATATATATATATATACACATATGAATATTAATTCACTTTTCAAATTCTTTAAAGAAAAAATAAAGAAAAATTGGATTGTACAAGAGTGGTCTTTAAAGTAAGAAGATTAGAAGTACTCACGATATAGTCTCGGTAGCAATTTCATGTCCATCGTGTGCTAAACTTTGTACCATATTATAATTACAATATTCATGAGAGATAAAGAATGTTCCTTTCAAAGGACAGTTGTTTGGATTTAATCGATTAGTGGCAAATATTTTTTGATAATGATCGAAGTTATTGTGATTTATTGCTCCATCGAATGTCATTATTATCATTTGTGGTGTCTGAAATTTAGGAAAACTATGTGAAAGGTATTGTTGAAAGTAATTTTAATAAATAGTAACAAATAAAGAGTATATACTTCTTCTGGGTGAAGACCACCAGGAATTATCGTACCATCTCTTGAACAAAAACAATAAGGTAGCTGACAGTTCGCGGGATCACACTTCTCTGCTAAGTCAATTGGTGGTTCGGTGACAGGCGGTGGGGCTGGTATTAACAATAAGTTTTCATTACTATGAAACTAATGAGAAATAATTTAATTTACGGCTATTAAAAATAAAGTACTCACTTGTGGCAATAGGTCCGCAACGTGCTTCATTTTTAAAAGTGCAAAATTTACTAATATCATCGAAATGTAGCCCCGACGGACACCTGTTTAGATACGGATAGCCGTCGACGCACTATCGAAATTACACATAAACATGAAATTTCTTTGTATCGCACTTTACAATTAAAAGACATATGTATTGTTATATTATTAAGTTTCAGCGTGTTTACCTGATAAAATCTTCTGCATGTAGCTGGATCTGCAAAATTACCATTGCCTTGACCTTCAGGGCATTTGAATTCTTCATCTTTTCTCTCTTCCTCCTTTTTAGCAGTTTTCTGCCCATAAACTACAAAACAAACAGGTATTCCTAAATATTTGTAAAAATAACTAACGGTTTCAGAAATATACGTGTAAATGTTAAAATGGAAAAGATAAATGGGAGAAAAGAAAAACAGACGGAATAATATTTTCAAGAAAATGAAAATGAAAATAGTTAGAGATATGCGTTATAGGTATTGTGTGCGTATTGTGTCACATGGGCCAGTGACAAGATCAATGTCTAACATTGACTTCCACATGTTGGTAACAGTATTTTGCAAATCTTAAAATTCCCAGAGCGATAATCATCTTGTACGCAGTAAAATACATATGTATTTATTTATTTTCTATAAAAAAAATTCTTGATAATTATTCACATGTACCGCCACCTGACAGATTTCAGTGATCTTTTAATATGTTGTAGAAATCAATATCTTGAACAACTTTTTCCCTTTGCATATTATTGCCGGACTCTTTTAATTTTCGAGATATTCCCATAAGCTCTCGGTACCACTACATTGAATTTTTCTCATAGTTGTACGTTCGTGACAGCGTACGCGTTAAAATATTGGTTGTTAGCCGCTCGACAGCGAGCGGACCGGATAAAATAACGCCTAACCCAAACTTATAAATTACAAACAAAAGGAAAAAACGTTGTTCAAAATATTGATCTGTGCAACATATTAAAAAATCATCGAAATAAATGAGGTGACATTACTTGTAAATAATTACCAAATTCTTTATTACGTCTCCTACGCGTACGTAGGATGCATTCTCCACACTAATAGAAAAAGTTAATTACAATAAATTTTGTTATTTGAATAAATAACATTTGAATAACTTCAAGGCTGCCATCAAAATTCTTCCCCCATTCTATTATATGTTAGATAATCACTCTACAACTGTGTTTAAGAAAGTCTCTTACAAAATGTTTACACTATAGAATGCCTTTGAGTCGAGATTTTTGATACTTTGTCATTTACCACCACAACGTACTTTAGACGATCATGTACGATAATAATCGTGCTAAGAATCCGTAATTACCGGAATGTTTTTTTATTCCAAGCGTCAAATGAAGAAGGATATACATTTAACGTAATTTCACTATCTTTAAAACAAAACGTTTCCGAAAGTAATCATACGTGAATTAGAATAAGATTCAGAAAGTAGCCAAACGGATTTAAAGTGAAAGAAAAAGTAGAGATGCGGCCATAATCAAACCAACAAACTAGGAAATTACGTATGGTTTGGTTGGGCATTTAATTCGACGAAGGAAGATTCGGATTTGATCACGTTGAAATCCTGTACGGATGGACTGTCGGGAGAAAGTAGTGTTTCAGGAAGATACTCCACTACGATCTTATGATAGGTGTAAAATGAAATAAGCGTTGTTTCGTTTACGATATAAAGAATTTTGAAAACAATTTCATAGTAGTAAGTTTCGATCATACAATACATGAGATCGTACTATCAATGAAGCTTCGTTTGAAACATTTTTTTTTTTTTTTTTTCATTAAACTATCAGTACTAGCTTAAATATTGTGGCGACTAATTCGTGCCGCAGCATGTATATTGTTAGATGTATCAATTACCGTCTCAACAAACCATATACTCGTTACCTTTCAAGTACAGTAAGAATTAAAGTGAAATCTTTTTTCACAAACTTTGTCCATATGAATTGAACACGTACAAGAATTATTGATCGGCAAAGTTGCTCGTTATAGGAGCGAATCTCGCATATGCATGGATGCCAAAAAAGATCGGTTTAGCAGCAAAGTGGAAAGTGAAGGTACTGCTCTGGCAATGACGTTGTGGTAAATCGTTCAGGTGCAACATTTCCATCGGCCGTGGTGCACGCATACACAGCCGCAAACGTACGGTACACCATATACGTAAACGTCGAAACTTATGTAAACAGCAGTGAAACCACCGACCGGGAACCTAATTTAACGGCTCTTCTCTCGTGTTGGCATGCCGGCTGGTTCTTTGCTTCCTCTGACTCCTTGCCATTTTATCTGTGTCAACTTTATTTACGACACGCACCGTGACAATGCAAGGAACTTTCAACGTTCCATGGAAATCTTGCTTATCGTGGAGAATGCAATTTACATGGTGATGCGCGTTTCACGAATTCTTGAGAGAAAACTCTTTTAAATTTATTCGGCGGCAAATTCAATATTAACTAGAACCATTTATCATCTTTAATGGATGATAATTACGTATGGATCGTAGAATGTTAGTAAATTTTTCAGGTATAAATAAAAGATCGATGCATTTAACATAATGACATATCAATATGTATACAGTATCCCAACGACTTCCTGACGAAATTTTGTATTGTAGGTATTATGGTTATATACGTATTAACAAATTCGAAAAAATTCTGAGAAGCCAGCGGAATTTGCATTAGAATATAATCTATCTATTGATAACCGGTTTTTGGATGTACAGTTAGTGTATATCTTCATATGTAATTTTATTCGATCTATTGATCTTAAACATTGCATTAGAAGTATAATTTATTAATAACAAGATACCGTCTCACGCAAGGAACATCCTTGAATTCGATTAACAGGAGAATTGGTCGATGAACGTCAGTTTATAACGACAAATCGCGATGCATTTATTTTCCTAATTATTACTATTTTACATAACGATTACCACCACGATTGTCAAATAATTATCAAGAAAAGAGAAGGAGAAAGAGAATTGCAATCTCCATTCAGTAAGCTGATTCACCGAAGAATTGCAAACTATCAAAAGAATGTTCTGACAAGGTCGTTCTTTTATTGTATCTACCTTTCTAACAAATTTAAGCCGCTATACTAATTGTTTGAATTATTCTTCTACATACAAAATATTTAATAAAATTAGGGATGGACAAAATAAAATAAAAGTCTCGAATCATTGTCATATTTTTGATTACAGATCAAATTAAAGGATGCACGTAGATAATCAAAATTTTAATTCGTAGGATATTTTTCATTTACTAAATGAAAAACAGAGAAACATAAAAATCAAAGTTTTAATATAATCTCAATGTCCGATAAAAGTAGAATTCTTTTCATTCTTTTTTTACCTATACTATCTCCACTTCTTTCATACAAAATCGATCGTAATTCAAAAAGATCAATCCAATCTTTACTACGAGTGGTAAATGACAAATCTCAAAATCTTTATAAAATCCCTCGCTACGATGAAAGATCACGGTAGGAAGAGCTGAAGGTTTTATGTCGCCCAACAGGTTTGATCTCCCGTCCGATCTCTCTTCGAAACAAGCAGCTGTGTCTTCCTACCTGTGGCAACGATGAACACGACGACACAGAACAGCAATCGACTCCTTTTTGACGTCATCCTTCACGAAAATCGTTTCTCCAATTCTTGTTACAGTTTGATTAAATTTACACAGCACTTACGTCCGAATGTAAATGTTTAAAGGTAATCTTTAAATCGTGGGTTCGTGTTGCACGAACATACTTGTTGTCGATAAACCACTGGAAGAAAGAAATGTCACGGTACTGTTAGCCAAGGTTTACCAGCAATGGTGTCTGCCATGGACTACGGGAGTCGGGAACCGAACGGTAGGAACCGTTCTTAGCTCATTGGCTGACCACTTTCTACCACCGCACCGTCTCCATCGTCCGAGAAATCTTCGCTTTTATTCGCACTAAAGCTGATAGTGGTTTCGAGTAAAGTCTGCTAAAAGTCTGGATTCTTCACGATTTTTAGATACTCCTCGGATAATTTCGAACTGGATAACCAGCCATCTTTCTAATATTTTAATTCAGTTAATTCAATCGGGACATGATTGTCATTCCTTCGTGTTCAAAAGCGAAACAAAGGTATAAAGACCATTTATTCATTAAGAATAATAACCATTGGATTTTAATGTACAAAAATACATACGTATATACACAAAAAAGTATTTTTCTCGTATTATTTCATCAACTAAAACCATCTAATATTGGAAATCTATTGAATATTTACAAGGTACACAAGAATACATTTTTTTTTTTTTTTTATTATCGTAAGTACATGTGTACGCGTATTATGAAAAAAATATAATTATATTCAAAACTCAACCTTGGTCATTTGTGGCCCCTTCTTCTGTTTTCCTTTTGTAGCCGATTTCTTTTTCTTTATCTTTCCGTTGTCTCCTTCTTGAGCCTCAGTAGGCTGCCAATAAGGATTGGAATAACCCTGTTCGCGTTTTATAACGTTTAATTCTTGAGATGCTAAATGAATTTTAACAATGGTTTCCGAATCTAACAAATATTTAGTACGATACGTAAAATTTAAGGACCAATTTATGATCGGATTCCATTTTTGTTGCGCTTTAAGTATACGGTGAGTAAAATGAGGAAAATGAAGAAGAATATCTCCAAAGAATGCCGTGTTTTCTAAGACAGTAGATATTGCTAAAAAAAAAAAAAAAAAGTATATAATGTCTCTAATCATGTTAAAACTTATTTTCTTATAAAAAGAGGATTATATTAATAACAAAACAATTACCAGTTTGTATAGTAACATTTTGTGGCAATAATCTATTATCTGGATTGAAATCTTCATTTGCTATTAATGCCTTATTTACCTCGATCGCATCGATCATCTTTTCACCAATAACTAAAATCATCTTATACAAACGTTCGTAGTTACCTATTTTCTGAAGACGTTTAACGGCTTTAGCATGTTCCTTGCGTTGATGTTCAAATGATTTTTTGACTAATGATATTTCAGTTAAGACGATTCAATCAATATAATAATAAATAAGGATTTATTATTATCTATGGCATAGTATCTCTACATAGTTTTATATGTAATACATATTATAATAAACGACATATTGTATGTAGAATCGAAAGGATACAACTGCAATTATAAAAATGCCACAAATACGATATAATAAATGTCCAAATAAAGGCTAATTATATTTTGAGCGGATACATAATTCTTCGTAGATCTTAATTTGAGATGCATCGCTGTTTTGCAGCTTCCCGCTGATTTGGTGATCAACACCGAAGGAAATATACTGCGCATGCGCGGTACATGTCAACACTGACACGATTGCGACATAAAAGAGAATGCGTGGCATTTTGTCCAGCGAAAACTGCTTGATATATAAAATAATATATCGATAAAATACCTATGTATCAAGGTAAGGAATAGTTGTCAAATGTCCATGAACCTTGTGCTTTTCCAGAAAGGACTATACAATCTTGAACAAAATTCAATCGACAATGTGAAGCCGCAAGTTTACAAACGCGACATTGCAATAATGCTGCCATCTATTAAATTTCGTACATCGAATGTATCAATATTAGTGTCGACTTTTCCGCAAATGATCAAAAGATTTACGCTTGTATTATACTTACGTGAGGAATTTAAATTACGATGCATATGTGTCTTTTTAGATTTTCTTGTTAACCGTATCCATGAGAAGTGCTAAATCGTATTAGGAGATCTTTCTGTACGTACAACAGGGCAACGTTTAAGTCATTAAGAAAACATTAGATAGGGAAGATTGAATTCACGTTATATGTATATGGCACGATGATTTGATATGATATGAAGATATTTCCATTTAAAATCTTAATAATATATTTAATGATTTCATAATTTCGAATCTAATGTCGACAACAAATATGGCAGCGACAGATGATACAAAACTTGATGTAAGTATTTATGTTGGAAATGTAATGTTAAAGATGTCGTTTTATTATTCATTAGGCGCGTTAATTTTTTATGATGGTAGTTTATATAATTAAAATTTTTCAGTAGAAGTATCGATAATAATATGTAAACATTTCAATGACAAATATAATATAATGGTATTAATATCAGATTTTAATTTGAAGTTTAAAGTTACAATGGAATATGCTGACCCTCAGAATATCGAAGGTGAGCTGACAGTAGGAGGCAAACAAAAATCAAATCTTGGAGAACCTGAATTTAATACTTTGGATGAACCAATCAGGGATACAATTGTAAGCCTATAAAATATTTTGTACACACACACACACACACACACACACACACACACACACACACACACACACACACACACACACACACACACACACACACACACACACACACACACACACACACACACACACACACACACACACACACACACACACACACACACACACACACACACACACACACACACACACACACACACACACACACACACACACACACACACACACACACACACACACACACACACACACACACACACACACACACACACACACACACACACACACACACACACACACACACACACACACACACACACACACACACACACACACACACACACACACACACACACACACACACACACACACACACACACACACACACACACACACACACACACACACACACACACACACACACACACACACACACACACACACACACACACACACACACACACACACACACACACACACACACACACACACACACACACACACACACGTACATATTGTGTATATATATATAAGAAAATTATACTCCATTACATTGTATTGTATTTATTATATTATGTTACGTTGTAGCTCAGGGATGTCAGAGCAGTGGGCAGGAAATTTTATCATGTTTTATATCCCAAGGAGAAGAAATGCCTATTAAAGGAATGTATGTTACTAGAAGAATCTTAATATTATAAATCATGAATTATATATAGTAGTGTCTTATTTCTAATTTTTAATTCTAGGGGATCTTTGGGGACCACTAGTATTATGTACATTCATGGCAATGTAAGTTTAATATTTTTTATAATATTCTGCATACTGCTGTTCTAATTACGATTATAAACCGTAGTACATTTAATACCAATTGCTGTTGTTTTAGGATATTACAAGGTTCTTCTGATACAGCAAATAATTTTAATGATGGGGGACCAGAGTTTGCAGAGGTTTTTGTAATCGTATGGATTGGATCTATGGTTGTTACATTAAACTCCAAATTATTAGGTGGTAACATGTAAGTAATTATACTGCGTAGAGAAATTTAGTATCTGTTGTAATACTAATGATTGGGGTTAGGTAATGATAGTATACTGCATGACTTTTATGTGCGTGAATTTGTAGATCATTAAGAGACTTGTAACTCCTTATTATAAAACAGGGTTATTTTGTTTTAAAAAATCTGTTTTATAAATATAAAGTGTTATAATAGAAGAACGAATGACATATGAAGTATGCATTTTATTTGCTAAAAGATATTTTAATATGTTTGTTATAGATCTTTTTTCCAAAGCATTTGTGTCTTAGGATATTGCTTGTTGCCAACTGCCATTTCTCTAATTTTATGTAGAATCATATTAATGGCAGAACAGACTACTTTCTTATTTATTCTAAGATTCGTAATTACCATGATTGGATTCATGTGGGCAACATATGGTTAGTATAATTTTATAGAGTTTTATATTGATGGACACTTGCATATCAAATTCTTACATTGATACATTCTTGTAAATATGATTTGTATATATTTTAGCATCCATGGCATTCCTTGGCGACAGTCAACCAGTAGGAAAGAAAGCTTTAGCTGTGTATCCAATATTTTTATTCTATTTTGTAATTTCCTGGTTGGTTATATCTCATACTACATAAAATAGATCGTAAGATGATGATGATAAAAAGACTGTACATTGTCCTATATTTGTGCACAAGAGAAGACAGAATTAAAAAATCGAGCAAATCTTTGTGTCGATCGAGTGTACTTTGAAATTCGCTAAATTTAAGCATATGTCACGTGTTAAGAGTTGTAGATAAAACTTATTACCGTAGATGCGTATGTTATTTATTATTATACAGTTTAGAGAATCAGAACTTTGTATGTCAATTATAATTATACGTACGTATATAACATTAATGTAAGCATAAAATAACGGATAATACTTAAGTAAATTATTCGCAGATTGTTATATATTTATACATAAACTCGATAAACAAGAATAGGCAACAAGATGCAAAAAAGAAGATGTTTACTTCATTCCTTTGAAACTCAAAATTATCGTTCAGTGTCTATAATGTACAGTTTGAAAAAATATAATCATTGTCAACTGTTTTTATCACAAACGAACATTCCTATTAAAATATCTATTTACTTTTTAGTTATTTCAAAGTATCATGGAAATGAAACACAGTATCATATTATATGATTTGTATTTTTTACATATACATATTAGATAGGTAATATTAGTTGTAAGACTAGAATCAAACATTAATAAAATAATACATTTTACGTGATATAAATAAACTGTATATTTTTCTATTCACACGCGCGAGAAATACCTCTCTAATTTGTTTAGAAGAGTTCTGCTATCAGAATGATTAGGATATACACTTAACGACTTTTGTATAGCAATGTAACTTGTTTGAAGATCTCCAACCTACGAAATTTTTAAAATAATAGTATCTATATATAATAGTTTATATATATATATATATATATATATATATATATATATATATATATATATATATATATATATATATATATATATATATATATATATATATATATATATATATATATATATATATATATATATATATATATATATATATATATATATATATATATATATATATATATATATATATATATATATATATATATATATATATATATATATATATATATATATATATATATATATATATATATATATATATATATATATATATATATATATATATATATATATATATATATATATATATATATATATATATATATATATATATATATATATATATATATATATATATATATATATATATATATATATATATATATATATATATATATATATATATATATATATATATATATATATATATAGATAGATATATATATATATATAGATATATATATATATATATATATATAGATAGATAGAAACTTAATATAATATAATATACAATGGTAGATAGTACCTTGTAAGCTAAATAAGCACTATTAAAATGGGGCTCATAAATAAAGTTAGCAATGTTGGCAGCAGCATGAAAATATGTTCTCGCCGCTGTAATGTTTCCATTTCGTATTTGTATGACTCCAAAATTATTGTATGCTAAAGCGTGTCTATTGTCGCTAACAATAGCTAATTTTAAACATTCTTCCGCCATTGTTATGTCACCTACAGTCTGAAATTGAAATAATTGGTACCAAGTACTAAACTCTATATATAAAATCAAACATTTATCAAAGAGATAATTTCAATTGTTATCCACAAATTTACATATTATAAGAAATTATATACATACAAGAGCAATGTGTGAAATGTTATACCATATGTCTGCCATATTTTCATCAGTAGAAAGACTAATTGCTCTTTCAAAACAAGATATAACATGATCATATTGCTGAGCATAAAAACAACATAATCCAAGGTTATTAAATAATTCAGCATTATATACTCCCATTTGTAACAATCGTCTACATGGAAAAGAACGTCGCAATTATATTTCTAATTATTTCTATTTATTATATCTACAACTGCATTTACCTATAATATCGTAAAGCTAATTCCGGTTGATCATTATAAAAATGATGTATTCCGATACTTGCTATTGCTTCTGTATGAGAAGCATCTTCCTGAGCAATTAATTTATAGTATTTTAACGACATACTCATATTATTCAGACCGTCGAATATACGTCCCATTTCAGTAAGAATATTGACATCATTAGGAAAATACTCAAGACCTTTTTTACATGTATCTAAAGCTGTTAATGGTTGATCAAGTCTAACGTAAACTCTGATTAGTCTCAAGATTACTTCAATAGTTTTAGAATCTTTTAACGCTGATTTAAATTGTTGTTCAGCGTCTCTGATTAATCCTAGACTATAATAACATTTTCCAAGTTGTACTTTCCACCACCAATCTTTATAATGACAAATTTGAGTTGCTTGCACTGCTAAATCTAGTGCCTACATGTAGCATTGTAGCAGTTAATAGAATTATGGTGAACATTAATAATTCTTATTAATAATAAATATTGATTGATACATGTATGTTTACTCACATATCTAACATCATGTTCGTGATAATATATATACTCAAATAATGGTTTAGCAATACTTGGTTGACTAGCATATTTAGAAATATTTAATCGTGATAATTGTATAAAAGGTCCTCCCGGCTCTGTTAACATGGATGCTGTGCCTAATCTATATAATATATTTATTTTAATTTTGAATGTATAACAACTAAAAATGTTTAATTACAATGTAAATGATAGTTGTACCTAACGCTACGGCTAGAAATTGCAGTAATTGGTCTGGCTGTCATAGCTGTTCTGGGTGTTCTTAAAGTTTGCTCAATCGACTGAGACATAGCAGATTGGGTAGCTGGTCGCACAACACCAGTAAGTGGTCTACCTACAAAACATATCATATTTTTATATTACAATTACAACTTATTTCTATTTTACTACTTAAAATTATTTCTGCCTCTCAAGGACAAACCTGATTGAGTTTTGGGTCGAAGACATTGTCCCACGGAAGAAGTACCAGGAGTTTTTAAAGATGTTCCTGGTCTAGGCATAGAAGATATTGTATAATTATCTAATAGACTTTCAGCAATCCCTTCCTCTTCTCCTTCTATATCATCTACGTATACTTGTAATGTTAAGGCACGCATTTTTAAGACCCATATAGTCTATAATGAAAAATACATACGTTTCTATAGAGATGTATATTGCTATTTCATATATAAGTATGTTAAACATACTTATACCTGATCAAGAGGATTCTTTTGTAACAAATTTGTACATATTGTTGCGCAATCTTCATATTTTCCTTGATTGAATAAATTTAAAGCTTTAAATAAGTCCATGATTTAATGAATAGCTTAATAGAAAACGCTTTTAATATTTTGTATTAAAGTTTAAGAGAAAGGAGTAATATATCTTAGCAAACCATACCACGGTATTTAATCTATAAATATCTAGTTATGCGATAGAAATAAACGAATTTTACATGTACGAAGATATTGATTGTGCTGCTTATAACCCCGCGTATGGATGTGGAAATAAAGCAGCATATACTTCTTCTACACTTTGTGTAAAAGTGCGTAGAATCGATGATAAATGTTATAAAAAACAATTTAGTTTATTGACTTCATATTATCATAAAATACGTTTGCAATAACAATTGTTATACGATTAAATAATATCATTTACTCTATTCATTCATACTAACAAAAGGGTTACTTCTGGAAATAAAAAGAAATTTTATTTCGATATACAAAAAATATCTCTTATATGCAAAAATGTCTTACTATATACAAAGAATAACAAAGTAATATCTTATATATTTAGCTTGTTTCGTAAATGTCAAAATTCGACAAAGAAAACAACGTATTTACTTGCTTTTTCATATTATTTTTATTCATATTATGTGTAACTTGTGATTGACATTATAATTAATATTATAAATTATACCTATAATTATAAAAATGGAATACTTTGATAATAATGACACGAGGTTAGTGTGCATCGGAAATACTTCGTAAAATTAATTTCTTGTTGTATTATACGTGCTCGCCTCCCTTATTTTAGCATCCAACAAGCTTTCGACGAGTTCTTTAAAACAAAAAGTATAGAAGAACAATGCACGGAAGAATCCTTGATGCAACTGCATGAAGTATTTTTGGTACTTTCGAATTAAGAAAAAGCTTAGATATTGTCTAAAAAATTGCAAAACAAATTAATGTTTAAGATACAACTAGTGTAATATGAATGATATTTCCAAATTTGATATCTCTAACATGTAGTTGAATAATTAGTATAATCATTCTTATTTTCTGTTATTAACAGAATATAATTAAAAAATTAACAGTCATATAACGTATAGGCTTCGCCAAATGAAGAAATGGATATAACCCGATTGTATGATGCGTTTGAAAATATATTGCACATTCAGATGCCACATAATGAATTCAAAATTCTGTTTAAAAAGGTAACAACATAGATTTACTATTTCAATTAATCATTACGTGTCCATTAATTCTATACATATAATTTTATATGTATATTTTATATGTTATTAATTTTAGATGAACTTAAAGAGAGATGGAAATATTACTTGGAATGAATTTATCTCGTATTTATTAGTAGAATTTCAGAGAAAAGATACCACATTACAATGGCAAATATTGAGACTTCCAATAACTGATATCCCCCAACTTTTGAAATCGCATCACCGTACAGCTATACACAAAATCATGTTTTGTCCTGAAGTCTTGCCCGTACGTGACATATCATATATCTTTTAATAACTATACTTATTTGACGATGATATACATATTATTACTTGTAATTTTTATGTGTATATCCATAGGATAGAACTACAAGCTTCCATAGAGGGTTTTATTTAACTGTGACTAAAGAGGGAATCATAAATTACTGGTCTTTAGATTTAGAATACGAACGGAGCGCGCAATCTGTAAATCGTTAGTAACGTTATATCTTACATTCTTTTATGTATATGCATTTGTTTCCGAAACTTCCATCTTTGCAGCGTGTTTAAAAGTTCAACACACTTTAATAACTGATATGATAGTAATGCCCGATATACAAGTAGTATGCACAAGTTCTACGGAGTGCGATTTAAGATTTTATGATACAGCGGCAAAGAAGTTTGATCTTCGAATAATGGTTAGTTATATTTTTTAAATAAACAGTAGTTTTTCTTTAAATGAACTCTTCGATATTAAAACCTTGTACGATTAGATATCAGGCTTGGAGTATGCAGTCATTTGTATGGATTATTATTTCAGTAAAAATATCAAAGAGGACTCGTATATTGTACTTGGAGATATGAGTGGATCTGTCAAAGTCATGTCTTTTAGTCCAATAGAGAGAGGACCATTTAAACAAGAACCTCAACGTGATAGTTTATTTATTCGCTATGAATCTGTTCTCAAGGTAAATAATTTATCTTCAGAAACTTGTGTCATCGCGTATGTTAAGTATGCGCAAGAACCAAAACTCACAAAAAATCACAGTCTACTCGATAATCGATATCGTCAAATATTTTTGGGATTTCGAAAGAAATTCTCGGTCGAACGTCTTCGAGTTCTCATACGTGATATACATGTAAAAGACGTCCTAGGACAGATAGATGTATCACTGGTTCTGCAATGTCCTATATAAACTTGTGCTTCCTACATAAACATGTTTTAATACGTTGTAACATACATTATAGGGTGAACTGAAAGGATTGAAAATTGTAGAATTTAAGAATGTACATACAGATTGGGTGAAACAAGTAGCCTATTATGGAAGTTTAAGAGCTTTCATGTCCAGCAGTAGATGTTGTAATTGTTCTTTATTATTTAGTGATCTTACAGGAGCAAGGATTCAATACAAATTCAAAGTTAACATGGGAATATCTTGCTTCACCTTTTGTGAAGGTATTTTATCATAAACTTTCCCTCGCTTATTGACATATATGTATGTTGTAAGTACATGGTACTTTTTAAAAATATATCTACTTAGAGGGTCAGTTATTAATAACCGGTGGACCAGATTGCATAGTTCGGGTTTGGAATCCTTTTGTGACTAGAAGAGCAAGTAGTACTTTCCAAGGTCATCGTGCACCTATTTGTGCCTTAGTTGTACAAGATGCTGGTAAACGCGTGTACTCTCTTTCAAAAGATAGATGTATCAAAGTGTGGGATGTATTAACTCAATCTTGTATTCAGGTTTTAATAATAAGATATTTCATCAAACGATACTTTCCTTAATTAATGTTTCGCCTAAAGAAATAAAAAGGCATTAATTAAATAACAATATAAAATCTATGTATAATTAGAATTTAAGTCAAGTTATTTTATACAGACATACAATGGTCTTCCCAGCGAATTGGGTGAACATACATCAATGACTGCGGTGTATAATACATTGAATCGTAAAATGATCATTGCTAGCTCAATGATCGCAGTGATTCTTTGCGATCCTGAGGTCAACAAAGAAATATCTGATGGGTTTACACATACAAAATCTATCAGCAGTGTTTTATATAACCATCTCTACAAAGTGGTAATTTATACGCTTTGTATAATTTTCATTCTCTATGTCTGCAGAAATTAAAATATTCTACGAGATCATTTAAAAACTTAGGTAGTTACGACTGGATTAGATTCTTGTATAATAATTTGGGATCCGTGGCTTGGAAATCGTTTATTCTTAGTAACGCATGCACACAGTAGATTCCTATATGGTCAATTTCATGACATTGAAATTACTGCTGCTTGTTTCGATGAATCTGAACAATTACTAGTAACAGGCGCTCGTGATGGTACATTGAAAGTTTGGAATTTCAATACTGGTACTTGTTTGCGGAACATGGCTCTTGAAACTCAGTGGTACGTACTTACCTATTTTGTTATCTTCTATTACATATCAAGATTAAAAACAACATTTCTAATAATTGTCAAATTCTATTGATAATATTCGCAAATATATTTCTTATAAATCCGTTTGATTATGTACAGTGAAATAACCAGTTTAGTTTGGCTGGAAAATCGAATCTTATGTAGTAGTTGGAATCGTCAAGTCGTAGAATTTGCAACTTCTGACGCATATGTATATAAAAAGAATTGGGGAACAATACACACCGATGATATTCTTTGTTCGGCCATGTGGTATCCTCAGGTATTGGCTACGGCAACTTTTAATGGAGAAATAATACTTTGGAGACTAGAAACGGGTCAACCGTATCGAAAATATAAAGTTAACGAACCGATGTCAAGGTAAGATCTAGAATAATATGAGAAATGTTAAAATAATATAAAAATTAAACTTCTAGAAATAGCGTGCTGTAATAAACAATGCTAACTAATCCAATAACGTGCTGTAATGAACAATGTTAACTAATCAGTGTTATATAGATTTAGGATAAGATACCATAAAGATGAAATAACGTACAAAATAAAAAAACCTGAACAAGTTACGAAAGAATTCATTTCGAAACAGAGGTATTCCATGGTATTGCAATTGTACTTTTTCTAAAACATATCTGAATCATAATGATCAATGTTTATAGTCAATATCCTACGGCTTCTGAACATCAAGAATCCGCATTGAATATTGCACGAATTGTTGCTGTTCGAGCTATGATATTTTTAAATGCTCGGCCGGTTAGGCCTGATGTTGGAACATTGTTAGTTTCTCTTGATTCAGGATATGTACAAGTGTGGACTCATCATCCTGCTGGTGGATTTCTACAAGCTTTCTCAGTTATTCATTCTATACGTGATTGTGCATTATCATTAGCAACTGATCCTAAAAATCATTTTCTTGTAACAGGTAAAAAAAGGAATGCATTTAATTTCTACAACATTATTTATTTATTATAAGATTACTTTTTGTATGTAACGTGATACTTCATTGCGACAAAATATTTAATATAAAAGGAAAGATAAAGCCAGAAAATATGATTGGAGAGTAAGTCCATTAAACAAAATTTAGAACACAATGTAAAAAAATTTAGGACACAATGCTGGATACATTAAAGTTTGGTATCTCGCGAATTATTTGTTGCCAAATCCTCCTAAGATATCTATGCCCGTTTTACGGTTGGAATTTCCATTTCTATGGAAAAAGAAAGTTATTGGTAGGGCAAAGAGAGCTGTAAAGGATCAACCTTTACCACTTCTACTTTCATCTGTGCGTGGACATTTAAAATCTATTACGTCCGTCCAGATAATCCCAGATGCACGTATTGTCATTAGGTAATGAATGTTAATCTAGTGCTTATTATTTTACGAACTTTTAACTTAATTTTATATCTATATATATAATGTAATGACTATTAATTACTATTTGCTATTAATTACTCTTGAATTTACATATTCTCTTTTTAATCATTTTCTCTGAAACAATTATTTTTCCAATA